AGTGGAAGAATGAAGAATATTACACTGTATACAATTTTAAATAAAAAGTATACAAACATAGCCAGGATTCAGCTGTAAGCATTTGCAACACTACAACAATCAAGTAACACACATTCATATAAAATGTTAGTTACTTAGCCAGTCATGTAATAACAGGAATGAATAAGTAGATAACTCCCTAATTCCCACGGTATTAGGGAGCTATCTACTAAAAGGCTGAAAGACCTAAATTGGTCTTTCAGCCAAATTTACTAATACTAAGTAAAGATTACTTAGTATTAGTAAATTATGCCCTTACTCGCTATACCGCGAGTAGGGGCATGTCTAGTAGCCTGTGGCTCCTTACTGTAAAAAAAACTACAAAAAATAAATATATATATATATATATATCCCCCCCCCCCCGGCCCCCACCCCTGAATGGCGGATGGGGGCCCTAAAGAAGAATAAGGGGGGTAGACCTATTGTCCTCCCCCCCGGCTCCCACCCATGAGCGGCGGGTGGGGGCCCTAAGTTAGAATAAGGGGGGGACCTATTGCCCTCACCCCCAGACCCCACCCCTGAGCGGCGGGTGGGGGCCCTAAATATCAATAAATGGGGGGATCTAATGTCCACCACCCTGGCCCCCACCCCTGAATGGTGGGTGGGAGCCCTAAATTTAGAATAAGGGGGGGACCTATTGTCCTCCCCCCGGCCCCCACCCCTGAGTGGTGGGTGGGGGCCCTAACTGTCATCAATAAAGGGGGGGGATCTATTGTCCTCCCCCTGGCCCCCACCCCTGGGCTGTGGGTGGGGGCCCTAAATAAAAAAGTAACCCCCCGTCACCCACCTCCCCCCAAAAAATAACCCCTACCTACCCCCCTCATCCTAAAAATAATGAGGAGGGGACCCTTATCTAACCAGCTATTTGCCTAAAATTTGAAATGCCATGTAAATTTCTGCTAAAGTAATATCCATGTCTGTGTATGAGATGGTGAGCATGGATATATTCTTCCACATGCTAACTGTGGCCTGGTTTTTATGGTTGTCGGCAAGATATAGCTGTTAAGAAATTAAATTACTGACAGCTGGTATGTAATTACAGCGGCAAAGATACCAACAGGTCTCCACTGTCAACACTTGATGTTTGCATGCTACTGACATTCACCTCTACTGAGTCCAACCACCCATGCGCATGTGCTGTCTGCAAATGGATTTATATCAAGAAAAATAAATATCTAACATAAAATAAAATATCAAATATTAAAAAGATAAATAAAAAAATAAATAACAATGAGAACGGAAACGCAAAATAGAAAATATTTAAACATGGCAGCACTGGCATTCTACCAGATGATCAGGGAAACATACAAATATCCTGTTGATCATTTAACTGTTAGCCAGAGCTAAGAGGGGATATGAGATAAAATGTAGGTGTAACCAGCTTGTCATCTAGGAGCTAGGCCTACTATTAGTCAGTGTGTATATTAGAGTTATTCACCGAATGGACAAAATCCGATAAAAATTACCAAGTTCCAACCACATTGTCAATTCGTAGATTTACTATAGCCGAACGTGGTCGGGATTCGGTCGGTCTGACTGATTCTGTATTATTTGTTCAAATCAGTAATATCCGCATGCGAATCAGTTTAAAGCAGAGTAATCAAATATCTGTTAAAGGGATCCTATAGTGCCAGGATAAAGCCGTTTTTCTGGCACTATAGGGTTAATAGGTCCACCCCCCTCCCGTGGGGCTGAAGCCAATTACCTGAATCCAACGCCGATGTCCCTCGGCGCTGGGTCAGGCTCCGCCCATGCTCCTCCCTCGTCGACATCAGCCGGTGGGGGAAACCTAATGCACATGCGCGGCAAAGGCCATGCGCACACATTAGACCAAACCATAGGAAAGCATTATTCACTGCTTTCCTATGGGGGAAAATCTGACACTGGATGTCCGTGAGGACGTCCAGCGTCAGATAATGGACCAAAAGTCCGTTACAATTCGGGAAGCGCCCCCAGTTGCTATCTAATGTTTTACATTGCAGCACTAGGTGCAAAAGGGTCATAGCACCCAGACTACTTCAATTAGCTGAAGTGATCTGGGTGCCTACAGTGTCCCTTTAACTACCGCATGGTCGATTGAATATAAACCGAAAGCGTTCGGCAGGATTAACATCCGCAAATTATCCTTCACTCTCTTTGTGCTAGTGAATTGATCATTTGGAGAGCTATTTGCCTGCTGGTAGAATAAGCATTTTAGATCATGAACATTTTGATTAACCCCTTAAGACCGGAGGGCGTACTATTACACCCTATTCTAAGCAGCTCTAAACGCCGCCGGGCGTAATAGTACGCCCTCCGGTCTTTTCCTACTTACCCGGTCGCCGGCGTGGATCGCGGTTCGGGGGACTCCCAGGGAACCCCCCCGTGGCACGTCCGTCCTCCTGGAAGCCCCCCGGCCATGTGAGAGTGGGTTCCTTGCGAGGACCCCACAATAACATGACCGGGGGTAGCTGCCTCCTGCATTGCCAGCAGGGGGGCTGCCTGTAATGACAGGTGGTCCCCCTGCTGGCTGAAAATAAAATTAAATAAAATAAATAGTGTAAAAAAAAAATAATATATACTTAGATCATATATATATGATATATATATATGTTCTAAGTATATATATACACATATACATACACACATGTACACCGTCTAGGTGTATTTTACTATTAATATATATATAATTATATATATATATATATTAATATCAAATTACACGTAGACTGATACTGATTAAATATATATATAATTATTGTTATATATATATTTATATATAATATAAAAAAAATAAAAATGTAAATACGTTAAAAAATAAAATTAAAAAAATAATTAAAAATAAATAATTAAAAATATATAGATGTGTGTTATTTCGTTCTAACTGTATTGTGAAATTAATATATATATATATATATATATATCAAAATACATGTAGAACGAAATAATATATATATCTATATACATAAATACTGCTTGCACTGGTACCCTGCACACACACTTGCAAAATTCAAAAAATGCCGGGTGCATAATAGCCATAGCCAAACAATATAGAATATACCAAAAATAAGGCTTGCACTCACGGTCTGTAGTAATGTTAAAAATATATTTCTTCTTTATTCCAATATTCTTAAAACATATCTGTAGTCATCAACGTTTCAGCCATCACTCGTGGCTTTCATCAGGATCAGTTCAATACTATATTTAGTAAACATATCTGTAGTCATCAACGTTTCAGCCATCACTTGTGGCTTTCATCAGGATCAGTTCAATATTATATTTAGTATTGAACTGATCCTGATGAAAGCCACGAGTGATGGCTGAAACGTTGATGACTACAGATATGTTTTAAGAATATTGGAATAAAGAAGAAATATATTTTTAACATTACTACAGACCGTGAGTGCAAGCCTTATTTTTGGTATATTATATACATAAATATATACGTATATATCACTATATATACCTATATATAAATAAAAATATTTTTAAAAAATTATATAGATATATACATATATATACACATACGTATATATATACATATATTAATTCTAAACAATAAACAAGAATTATCAATTTTAGAACATGGTCTTTCATTTGTACCCACGGCAGCCCCTAATATGTTTAAGTGGAATGTGGAGCTATTTAAATTTGGGAGAAACATGCGCCTCAAGGAATATTACCATAAACCAGGAGAACAGGGACCACTACAGATTCCAATGAATTTCGATATACCGAATCAACAAATGAAAAAATTCAAACCTAAATCGGATTTTGACCCACAGAACCATAAAGCCTCGATCAAGACCTATCTTTCTACAGTGGAACGACTTACACAAGATACTATACGCAACCATAAAGTAATCAGGAGGAATGTCTCTGTATCACAGATGAAAATGATTAAAAATTTGGCTGAGGACCCTACAATTGTCATTAGATCTGCTGACAAAGGGGGAGGCATTGTAATCATGGATTACAAGGACTATGCAGGAGAAATCAGACGGCAATTGCAAGATGTCACGGTATATCTACACTTACAAGGTGATCCTACAAAGAAAATAGCAACAATTATAGAGAATACTCTATTTATGGGACTGGAAGCAGGATTCATAGATTTACAACTTTATAATTATCTATTGAAAAGGAATCCCAAGACCCCCATTATGTATACTATACCAAAGATACATAAGAATCCTGTTAAGCCTCCGGGGAGACCTATAGTATCAGCAGTAGGAGGGATCTTGGAACCTATTGCGAAATGGTTGGACTCCCTATTCCAAGCACCCATAGCAGAGATACAGACTTGCATCAAGGATACACCGACATTGATAAAGAAATTGGACTCATTAGATTTTGGCGAGGAACCCATCATCCTAATCACTATGGATGTAAGTAATCTATATACAATTATTCCACATCAGGAAGGAATTGAAGCCATGAGACAAACTTTATGTATGGCTACTACATATGAGGGACCCCCAATAGAATTTGTTTTGGAATTATTATCCTTAACCCTTCAATAGAACTATTTTAGATTTGAGGACGATTGGTTCCTACAGGTGGCTGGGACTTCTATGGGGGCAGCAATGGCCCCCATGTATGCTAACTCCTATATGTATATATACGAGAAACAATACATCTTTTCCAAATGCAACCATCATATCACGGCTTACTTTCGTTACATCGACGATTTGTTGATCCTTTGGAAAGGCACGGAACTGGAAGCACAACAAATGGTTCAATATTTGAATGAACTCAACACTCCAGTCAGGTTTACATCCAATATTAGCACAAGTATGATTCAATTTTTAGATTTAGAGATATCTGTTAAAGAACATGGTGTTACTTATTGTTTATATAGGAAAGATACTGACCGGAATACATTGCTGCACAATAAAAGTGCACATCCAAAAATTTTGAAAAAATCCCTTCCTAAGGCACAATTTTTAAGAGTCATACGCAATAATTCAGATCAACGCAAGATGCAAGAACAGTTGGAAGAGATGAACCAAAAATTTCTCGAAAGAGGTTATTATAGACAGGAGTTGTTAAAAGCACAAGATGCACAAAAGGCCAATACCGCCGTACGGACCAAAAAGCCACCAGCCTTGGTGTTTCCAATGGCTTACAATGACGCTTCACCCAAAATAGTTAAAATCATCAAACAAAATTGGAAGATGCTTGCAACAGACGACACTTTGCCCGAATTATTTAAAGAAAATCCGTTAATTTGTTTCAAGAGAAACAAAACATTAAAGGACATTTTGGTACATACGGATCCTATAAAAAGCTACAATCAGGAAACCGATATTCAACATCGAGGCAGTGTCCGATGTTTAGGGTGTGTCACCTGCAGCCATATGACTCCAGCAAAATCCTTTCAACATCCACATAATAATAAGGTGTTTAAGATAAAACACACTATTACATGCAAAACACCATTTGTGGTCTACAAATTAACTTGTCCGTGTGGGTTAGCCTATATTGGCAAAACTGAAACTCCACTTTGTGAAAGAATACGGGGACACAGATCAGCAATACATGTGGCATATAGGGACGGACATTCAGAACAACCTGTGGCACAACATTTTCTAAAAATTAAACACCCACTTTCCTCTTTGAAATTTGTCGCAATAGACCACATCCCTATACCCAGGCGAGGGGGGGATCGTGGTAAAATTCTCCTTAATAGAGAGACAGAGTGGATCTTCCAATTGAATACGATTGCACCTGGAGGACTTAATGAAATGATTTCTTATCATTCATTTCTTTAATTATGATCCCTTAAAAAGCAATAGGAATTATGTTTTTATTATGTGTAATTTTATATCATTTAGTTTTTAATGATTTGATACATTTATATACCAGGGAATAATTTATTAACATAGATTTGCTATTTAAGTATATTTGCACATGTGAGCACTTTTTTACACTTTAAGCAATGATTATATCACTGTTTGCACTTTTTTTACATTAATGGCACTTTAACCACAACACTCTTTACCTCCAGTATAAATTTTAGCACTGGCCTTAGCACTTTATAATATATATTGGCACTTTATGGTAAGTCTTCACTTGCCAACATAAGGGTATTAACCAATAGATTAAGTGTGTATATTTCCCCTTGCACTTTAAACACATACTCGTATCACTTCATATTAACATATTTTTAGATCTTCCATCCTCAATATTTCTTTTTACAGGATGATTTGACTTGTAAAGTGGGATTTCTATTGAATTTAATAGGTTTTGTGATTTAGCCGGGTTGCTATAGCAACCGGATACACATGCAATTCACTACTAGTCACTTCCTGGTTTTATTCCCCATGTGACTTTAGCGTTGCCGCGGCAACGCGTGACGTCATCACGGCACGTAGGGGCGTGGCCACGTCCGCGCATGCGCACGGAATGATGGTGGACGCCAGGGGCTCCACACCCACCCCTCAGAGCACAGGGGTAAGTCATTTTTGTCTAATTTCACTTATACTTTAGGTATATAAATGCACTGTTTTTACTTGTTATGCATGCCTGATCCTGATGAAAGTTCCAGATAGGAACTGAAACGTTGATCTTTTAATGGATTTTCAATAAACTGTAAGTTTTAACCTTCTAAAGCCCGAGAGTGCTGATCACTATTCACCATATGCATATTTTCCCTGGATTACAAGCATCCGGCCTACACCAGTCTATAAGCGTGAGTGCAAGCATACCCTGTATTTTTATATTAATTCTACATATATATTTATGTAACATTTTTACATAATTAGGTATCTTAATTAATTACAATTAGCGGGACCTGCCTGACAACCCATGCCGAAAGTAAAGGGAATTTAATTTGCTAGCACTATATTTTACCCTATAACTTTCCAAGACACCATAAAACCTGTGCATGGGGGGTACTGTTCTACTCGGGAGACTTCGCTGAACACAAATATTAGTGTTTCAAAACAGTAAAATGTATTACAACGATGATATCGCCAGTAAAAGTGATGTTTTTGGCATTTTTCATGCACAAACAGCACTTACATGGACGATATTATTGCTGTGATACTTTTTACTGTTTTGAAACACAAATATTTGTGTTCAGCTAAGTCTCCCGAGTACAACAGTACCCCTCATGTACAGGTTTTATGGTGTTTTCAAAATTTACAGCGTCAAATATAAGGCTTGCGTTTAATTTTTTTCACATTAAAATTCGCCAGATTGGTTACGTTGCCTTGAGGCCCAAGAATGAAAATTACCCCTATGATGGCATACCATTTGCAATAGTAGACAACCCAAGGTATTGCAAACGGGGTATGTCCAGTCTTTTTTAGTAGCCACTTAGTCACAAACACTGGCCAAAATTGGCGTTTTTTGCATTTTTCACACACAAATACTAACGCTAACTTTGGCCAGTGTTTGTGACCAAATGGCTACTAAAAAAGACTGGACATATCCCATTTGCAATACCTTGGGTTGTTTACTATTGCAAATGGTATGCCATTATGGGTGTAAATTTCATTCCTGGGTTACTATACAGTCTCAAAGGCAACGTAACCAATCTGGCGAATTTCAATTTCAAATGTAATGTGCTATATTTGACCCTGTAACTTCCCAAAACGCCATAAAATCTGTACATAGGGGGTACTGTCTTACACGTGAGACTTTACTGAATACAAATATGTGTATTTTATTGCAGTAAAAGCAAACAGTATTATGACACTGACCGTTAAAATGTCATGTAGAACTAAAAAAATTAAAAAAAATCGTATTTTCTCCCATTTTTTTCATATTAAATTATGTTTCATAGCTAAATATTTGATATTAAATGAAAGCCCTGTTTCCCCTGAATAAAATGATATATAATAAGGGTGGGTGCATTTACTATGAAAGAGGTGAATTACGGTTGGACAGACATGTTTTGTTTACATTTTGTTTTGTTCACAACGTGTACATTTGGCTCCGTCCTTAAGGGGTTAATTTTAAAAATGTATTTATTTTTCCCTCTGCTTATCTCAGTGGAAATAAACATGTTTTGCTTGTACAAATTATATTCTCACTATTACTTACCCCACACATACAGAGACACAATATAATTAGAAGGATCATATAAGTTCAAAATTATTTCCTGAACATTCAGTAGGATTGTAAAAGTAGACTCAGGGCAAATGCTCTGGAATGTATGAAATCATGTAACCTAGAACAAGCTGCTCTTTACGTATACATACACTATTCTTACACCACCCACATTTATTTACAGAGAAATGAATGAATGTATATTTTAACAATTAACCAATTTAAATGTATTCAATGCTCTAATCAACAACTGATTTTATGTGTAATTCTTGAAAAGAGAGGTTAGGCAATCTGTGCGTGTACATACTCTAGCGAATCTAAAGTAAGCTTATATCGAATCCAGAGGCCAATAAAAAGAATAAGATACTAGAGTTACAATGTAAATTATATTATTCAGTTATATTGTTTTCCCTCAGTCTGCACCATATGGACGGGAAAATGGTAGAAGAACATTTGATTTTGAGAGAACAATTTTCATTTATGTTTAGCGCTTAGTATTGTTTGATATTTTTGGGACCTCTGCTTATTTCATTTTTTTTACATTTCTTCCCACTGGCATCTCAATACGTTATGTATTTATTTATTTATTACTGTATATGTGTATTTAATGCACTGATTATTCCTATGTCCATGACCACTTCTGCTTTTAGAAGTAGTCTTGGAGGAAGGTATCTGTATGTGCAGCATTTCTGCACGCCCGGGAAACTTGACTTAAAAGGACACTATAGTCACCCAGACCTCTTTATCTCATTGAAGTGGTCTGAGTGCAGTGTTCCTGTCCCACTTAGTTCTGCAATGTAAAAAATTAGAGAAACTGCAATAATCACCTTGCAGGACTAAGACTGCCTTTAGGGACTGTCAGACAGCCACTAGAGGTACTTCATGGATTCTAGCAGACTCTGAGTCTTTTAAACTATGCTGGGCGATGCTGGACAGTGTGCTTGATGCACTTTAGGTCCCCCTGTCGGATGACGTTGAAGGAGGCGCAGCATGATGTAGCGCTGGGAGACACTGGCAATGGAATCAGGTGAGTAAAAAAATTGGTTTCCAAAGCTTTATCTGCTACATGGGAGGGAGAGAGCAAGAGAGGTAAGAAACAGGGGGTACTATTGAAGGGATCCTGTCCCATCTCACCTTGTTAGATCTCTCTCCACTTGTCTCATGCCTTCCTAAACACACATTTTCAACTGCTCTCTCTCTTCTGGCGTTGTCCCTGCTGACCTTAAACATGCCACTGTAGTACCTATCCTGAAATAAACATCTCTTGACCCATCCTCCCCCTCTAACTATCGTCCCATATCCCTGCTCCCTTTTTCTTCAAAGCTTCTGGAAAGACTTGTCTTTACCCGTGTGTCTCATTTCCTCAATTCCAACTCTCTTGACCCTCTTCAATCTGGCTTCTACCCTCTCCACTCTACTGAGACTGCGCTTATCAAAGTTACTAACAAACTAATCGCAGCTAAATCCAAAGGCCACTACTACATACTAATTCCTTTTGACCTTTCTGCTGCCTTTGACACCGTTGCTCATGCTCTCCTTCTTCAAACTCTCCAATCACTCGGTCTCTGTGACTCTGTCCTCTCTTGGTTTTCCTCTTATCTCTCCCAATACTCATTCAGTGTCTCCTTTTCTAATGACACCTCCTCCCCTCGTCCTGTCTCAGTTGGAGTCCCCCAAGGCTCTGTATTTGGTCCCTTTCTATTTTCTCTTTATACTGCCTCTCTTGGCAAGCTTATTACCTCTTTTGGATTCCACTACCACCTGTACGCTGATGACACCCAGATATATCTCTCCTCCCCGGACCTCTCTCCTGCCATCTTTCAACGTGTCACTGCTTGCCTTTCTTCCATCTCCAACTGGATGTCCTCCCTCTTTCTTAAACTCAATCTCTCTAAAACTGAGCTCCTTGTCTTTCCTCCTCCTAATACTGATCCTCCTCTTTCGCTCTCCCTTCAAGTTTGTGGTACCCACATCCAGTGGCCCTTCAACCCGGTATGTATGCCACTGTGGCCAGCCTCTTCTCCTGGGGGGGCCAGGAGCTGGCCACGTCAGGGCCCCCCAGAGGCTGGCCCAGCTGTCACCTGGCGGGCACGTGAGGGAGCACTCTCCCTGGCTGAGTGCTTCCTGTTCAGCTCTCTTGCGCACCGCATTGATATCGGAGCCGGAAGATGACGTCATCTTCCGTCTCCGGCATCAGTACGCGGCGCGCGAGGGAGCTGAACAGGAAGCACTCAGCCAGGGAGAGTGCTCCCTCGCACGCCCCAGCCTGCCCACTGGGTGACACCACTGGACCCCAGGGAATCCCCCCAGCTCTCCCACAGGTAAGGAGGCTGGGGGGATTAAATTTAAAAAAAAATGTGTGAGAGTGTGTGTGTGAGTGTCTGTTAGAGTGTGTGTTAGTGTGTGTTAGAGTGTGTGTGTGTGTGTGTGTTAGAGTGTGTGTTAGTGTAAGTGTGTGTGTGTTAGAGTGTGTGTTAGTGTGTGTGTGTGTGTGTTAGAGTGTGTTAGAGTGTGTGTGTGTTAGAGAGTGTGTGTGTTAGTGTGTGTGTGTTAGTGTTAGTGTGTGTTAGTGTAAGTGTGTGTGTGTGTTAGAGTGTGTATGTGTTAGAGTGTGTGTGTTAGTGTAAGTGTGTCTGTATTAGAGAGTGTGTGTGTTAGTGTGTGTGTGTTAGAGTGTGTGTTAGTGTGTGTGTTAGTGTGTGTGTGTTAGAGAGTGTGTGTGTGTGTGTTAGTGTTAGTGTGTGTTAGTGTTAGAGTGTGTCAGTGAGTGTGTTACTGTATGTGTCTGTTACTGAGTGTGTTAGTTTGTGTGCATCTGTTAGTGAGTGTGTGTTTTGTAAGTGAGTGAGTATGTGTCTGTCTGTCAATGAGTGTGTGTCTGTCAGTAAATGTGTGTGTCTGTTAGCTAGTGTGTATGCGTCTGTTCATGAGAGTGTGTGTGTGTCTTAAGCACTTACCTTTCTCCAGCGCCGGGCTCCCTTGGGGATCACTCCGCCCCGATCCGCCTCTCAGCTCCGAATGCGCATGCGTGGCAAGAGCCGCACGCGCATTCAAACCGCCCATAGGAAAGCATTACTCAATGCTTTCCTATGGACGTTCAGCGTCCTCTCACTGTCATTTTCACAGTGAGAATCGCAGAAGCTCCTCTAGCGGCTGTACATGAGACAGCCACTAGAGGCTGGATTAACCCTCAGTGAAACATAGCAGTTTCTCTGAAACTGCTATGTTTTCAGCTGCAGGGTTAAAACTAGAGGGACCTGGCACCCAGACCACTTCATTGAGCTGATGTAATCTGGGTGTCTGTAGTGGTCCTTTAAGTCTATGTGTATGTGCATGCACTGGCGTACATACCGCGGTCGCAGGGGTCGCAGCCCTGCGACCCCTGCGACCAGGTGCCCACCGCCATGTGTTGCTGCCCACGGATTAGTTTTCGGTTGTGTGTACGCCACTGCCCACATCAGTCCATCCTTGCAAGCGCACTGTCTTGGCGTCATACTTGATTCTGGCCTCACATTTGAACCTCACATCCAGTATGTTGCCAAATCCTGTAGATTCCATCTTAAAAACATATCCTGCATCCACCAAGATGCTACCAAGGAGCTTGTCCACGCTTTAGTGATTTCCCACATGGATTATTGTAACCCTCTTCTGATTGGTCTTCCCAAAAGCCGTACTGCACCGCTACAGTCCATAATGAACGCTGTTGCCATACTGATTTTCCTCTCTAGTCGCTTCTCTCACACCTCACCTCTCTGTCAGGCCTTACATTGGCTTCCTGTATGCTATAAGAGTCAGTTCAAGGTACAAATTCACACATATAAAGCACTGAACAACTCTAGCCCCTCTTATATCTCTTCACTGATCCATAGGTATGTCCCTTCTCGGTCTCTCTGCTCTGCTCGTGACCACCTCCTGTCTGTTGTTCGCACCCGTACGGCCAACTCACGCTTGCAAGACTTCTCGCAGGGTGGCTCCCTTCCTATGGAATAGCCTGCCTACTGCCATCAGACTCTCCCCTAGTCTTGCATCTTTTAAGAAGTGCCTTAAAACCCATCTCTTTAGGAAAGCTTATGGCCTCCCAGACTAACCTTTACCTCACATACCTGTTTCTTGCTCTCTCCTAAAAGGCAGACCACCTTATTTGATTGCAAATTCCTGTCCTATTGTGTTTTACACCCCACAACCTATAGAATGTAAGCTCGTTTGAGCAAGGTCCTCTCCAACCTATCGTTCCTGTACGTTTTTTGTAATTGACCTATTTATAGTTAAATCCCCCCTCTCATAATATTGTAAAGCGCTACGGAATCTGTTGGTGCTATATAAATGGTAATAATAATAATAATAATTGTGTTAGGAATACAGATTTGTATTCCTAACACTATAGAGTCCCTTTAAGCGGCACAGTACTCTGTTCCAGGCTGCCTAACGTCAATTCTGTGCAAAAATTATGTCTGTAGTCAGTGTGCACTGGATTTAAGGTAAGTGTTTGCTTTTTTTAAATAGGTTTTGGCCTAAAAAAGGAGTTGCATAGTTGCTAGTGCTCAATAGGGCAGTCTAGATTAAAAACGAACAGTGGTAATGTTTTATATGAACGCTTTAAGCAGGGAATTAACAAGAAGATTGTTATTTAGTTCGGGTAAATCCATCCAGAATCTTTATTTTCTTTCATGTGCTAATACTCTATAACTTAAACGACTTGAACAGAGAACGTTTCATCCACACAATATCTGTAAATCAATGCAATGTCTTGCTTGCAATAGCACAGTTTAAAAGTATTCATTTATTGAATATACCCATTTCTAATGTAACCGTATTATATTATAGTATTATAGTGCAAAATCACTTAGATGTCAGAAAAACCATATTGGATATTTAGCATGTTTTATGGGGGTAAGGTTCACCTCTCGGAATTTGGGGGGAAGTGTGGGAAATTACAATCTGACAGGTTTTAACTGATTTAGGGTTCAGAAGCATGAAAAATGTTCTGTTTAAACAAATGATGAGAAACATTCAGTAGCTGTTAGTCTACTTGATCCTAAAATAACATTGCAAACGATATGAGTTATAAGTGGTGTTTAAAATCTTTTGACAAGTAGTTTAACAATGTCTAAATGGACTGATTGGTAGATACATGCGTGTACACACACATTATTATTATTATTGCCATTTATATACACATATACATACTCCTTCAGCACACATACACAATATTAGTAAGAACCTTCAGAAGCAATGCATTGGTTAGACAGTTCAGTGTTTAGACAGACAATTAGAGAGAGTACATAAATGTCCAGTGGATAAAAATCCAATAGACACAAAATGTTCCTTGAAAAATATAAAACTAATATAGTTTAAAAAATAAATTTTATTAATTGCAAGGAGAAAAGACAGGTAACATAAACCCAATAAAAAGAGCCACAAACAAATAAAGGCTCTATATCAAAATAATAAATGGGGAAAACGTTATAATATACTGGATGGGATGTTGGCTGAGGATGATAAGGATGGGAGTTGAAAAACCTAAAAAGCTTTATATGTCCACTGCAGTAAACCACTTGTGGCTATAATAAAAGGCAACATAAAGCCCTATAAATCAACGCCACTATTATGGGTAAAAACTACATTGAATCAAAATGTATCCAATGTGACAGTGTATCAACACAAACTGCTAACTGGAAGAATGTCACCAAGAGAGGCTTTGTATATCACCCTCAGTAAACCACTCGTGGCTATAATACAAGGGCAATCAATAGCCTCATAAATCCATACCACTATTATGGGTAAACTGTATGCACCAAACGTATCCAGTATGACAGTGTATCAACACAAACTGTTGTTTTAGCAAATGTTACAAGGAATGGGTTCTAAGTGTCACCAAAAAAAAAAGTATATATTGGCAACAGCCTTCTATAAACTAGTTAAGTAGAAATACGACCTCATGGTCGCTAACTAATAAATTAGGCACAATAGAAGGCAAGATGCTGCCAGACACCCATACTAAGTAACTGAAGGATACTCCCTCAAACCACCAGCAGAGTTCTATCCAATTACGTCCACATAACTTCTTGTCTAGAGTCTAAAGTATTCCCCCGTACAAACTATTCTAAATAGACCACTTACTCAGATCACTTACTTCATCCTAAATGGGCATCTTGCGACATGAGGTTGGCTTAAAGGACCACTCTAGGCACCCAGACCACTTCAGCTTAATGAAGTGGTCTGGGTGCCAGGTCCCTCTAGGGTTAACCCATTTTTTTTTTTTTATAAACATAGCAGTTTCAGAGAAACTGCTTTGTTTATAAATGGGTTAATCCATCCTCCAAATCAATGCTCCAAATCAATGAGACAGCCGCTAGAGGCGCTTGCGTGATTCTCACTGTGAAAATCACAGTGAGAACACGCAAGCGTCCATAGGAAAGCATTATGAATGCTTTCCTATGAGACCGGCTGAATGCGCGTGCAGCTCTTGCCGCGCGTGCGCATTCAGCCGAATGGGAGGATCGGAGGCAGAGAGGAGGAGGAGAGCTCCCCGCCCGGTGCTGGAAAAAAGGTAAGTTTTACCCCTTTCCTCTCCACCCTTTGGTTGTAAGGGTGAGGTTCTGGGAGGAAAATATGTTGATGAGATCATGAATATTACAGGAATTAGCAAAGTGAATTTCAAAACATGGGCTGACATCTGTGTCTGCCATCAGCTCATTCATTGTATTTGCACTGATCTCTAATATTGAGACAGTGCTGTCATTTTGACATTGATAAGACTAGGATCTATTTATGGATGTTCTCCTGAGCATAATAAAGAAAGTTTTGTCTTACAAAAAGAGTTATCTTTCACTTATGATGGATATCCTCAAGGTGCGTTAAAACCGTCTGTTTAAAATAATTACTGTTAAGCTGGCATAGTGTGATATGTCAATGTACATAAAGCTGAAAATATTACTTTACCCCTGAAAGAGATGTCTTTCCAACATTTATGGTATAAGGGGTGATATCAGAAAGTAACCCTGAATTACTAGGCTATATGGGTCATCAGCACACAGGATCTCTAGACAGGCATTGTTCATGGTTAATGCTTTGATCCTTTTGATTTGTTTGACATTTTTTATCAGACCATTACTATTTAAAAAAAAGAAAGAAATTTAATAGAAATAAATAAAATGAAATATATATATATATATATATATATATATATATATTTTACAAAATGCATTTATAAGTATTTTAACATTATTTTATCAAGCCTCTCAAATCCTACCTCTGCTGCTAGTTCTGCAGCTAATCTGATTTTACCCTTTTCCCCTACATTAATTTCCATGTTGATGCTGGGCAATGTCCAGTCAAATGCTAGTCAAAGAGAAGCATTGCAAACACATTGAGCACATTTGGAAGCTATTCAAACATACATGAAAATATATATTTGTGGGGCCGCATTCTGAAACAGCTCCGACCATGCCAGACACAATCCGACCTAATCGGGCCACAAAAAACAGCGATGGGTCACCCTAAACGAGCCACATCCTCCCAACAAGCCCCCAGCAAAACCCAGTCGGGGAAATCGGGCGCACTCACCAAATATTTCCGCGACCAGGCGGACAGTAATGCCGGCCTGATAGGCCCCAACATGGCGGCTGACTCCTCGCCTCTCTGCATGTCTCCTTCCAGCCCGGCAGACTCAGACAACTCGGGCCCTCCAACAGACGGAGACCTAAAGGAGATCCTGAGGAACTTACCCTCCAAGCAGGATATTGCAGGTATGCTGACCCGGCTGGAAGCCTCAGTCCAGGCTAAAATGGACTCTTTTAGCTTGGAAATCTGCCAGGTCTCTGACCGGGTTGTCACCCTGGAAGATGACCTGGACGCCATGCACACACAACTGAGCTCCTTGCAGGCAGCGGTGGAGCACCAAAATACCTACCTATCCACGCTCCATAGGTCCATAGACGATCTAGACAATAGGGGGCGCCGCAACAATTTCCGAATCCAGGGTCTCCCAGAAAATGAACAGGAAGATATCTACTTAACACAAAACGAACTCTTCAACCTTATACTGGGAAAACCAGGAGACAACCACATTCTACTAGACAGAGCATACAGGGCACTGAAACCCAGAGGTGTAGCGACTGACAAACCCAGAGACGTCATCTGCAGGCTTCACTACCATACCTGTAGAGAAGACATACTAAACATGCTGAAACAGAACTCTCAACCCTTACTGTTTCATGATGCTCATATTACTATCTATCCAGATCTCTCCTGGCTAACCCTCCAAGCGAGAAGGATCCTGCGACCTTTTACAGATCAACTGAGATGCAGAAATATAAGATACCGGTGGGGATACCCACTTGCGCTGAGTGTCACATACAAAGGCACCCAGCACACAATCCACTCTCACGCAGACATTCCACTTTTTATACAAAATCTCAACTTAACAGACCCACATATCCAGGACTGGTATGGACCGCTGCAAACGCCACTGTTACCTCAGCTACCACAGAGATCCAGATGGCAACAAACAGACAACCGAGACCCGACGCAACACTGAATAGATTCCAGCCCGGCGCACACGGTATGGACTGCTTCCGGCTCAGGCCCTAGGGCCCACCGCCTCACCTTTAACTGAAACTTCAATGACACCCGCTACTGCCCGAAACCTGTTTCAGACGGCTACGGAAACCTGCTAAACCAGACGCTTCCACTAAGCTGCTGGAAACTGGAGGACACTTATCGGGGCCACCTTTTTTCCTAGTTTCTCGTACAACCTCTGAGATCCAGGTGATTGTATCAACCAACAGCTGCATATATGCCGCATTATAGTGGCTACTATAGCAGAGAGCAGCGATCTCCTAACCACCAACCCCTGATAGACATACCCAGCCTAATGTCCCAACCTGTCAAATTCTTTGAAAATGGCACCGAACCAGGAAGCCTTTCATAGTCGCCCACAGCACTAGCTATTCCCAATGATGACATAGTTGAAGGCTATACAGCCTGGTTTTACAGCAATAATTATCTCCCCGCTATGCCGACCCAATGGCCAGGGCGGTGGCGGACGGCCGTCGCGCAGCACTGGAATCCCACTTATTGGCCCACTAAAAATGGTTAAGAACGACCATCAAAAAAAAACATAAAATAGCACAGGTTAATATGTCTATATAAAATCATTGCTAGCTATAACTAAATACTTGATGTGTTATGAAATATGTAAGCGGATTTGTGCTCTGGCGGCGATTGACTGTAGACCGATACTTCTTCAGCTCCCACACGGGAGCTATTGGTTGACATCAGCTGCCTGAGACCACCCCCGCCTCCCCTCTACTACTTAATTATTATCTTATGTCCACTTGAAGACTTTCATTTCACTAGGTCGATACGACCCACACCACGGTGTCACAGGTGTACCCAGGTGGCGACATCCCATTCTGGGTCCGACACCAGAGGTTCTCCCCTCAGGCTGCTGGCTGATGACTGGTGTCAAACCTGTGCCTCCCTGTAGCCTGAGGGGACAATTACAAATTCAATTTACTTATTGAATATCTGTTTGTATATAAGTTATTTACTGTGTTTATATATTTTCTTCTACTCTTTTGTTATTCTTTCCTCTCTGCAACCAACCCACCCCCCTTCCCTCCCTTCCCACTCGCCTCACTATGAGAAAAACGGTCCCACTGGAACGTTCACACACACACTCAGACCCGATGGCCACCATACAAATAGTCACCCTTAATGTCAAAGGTCTCAATACCCCTGAGAAGTGATCCATAACCCTCATGGAAATGCACAAACTGAGAGCTGACGTGGTCTTTCCACAAGAGACCCATTTTAAAAAAGACAAAGCCCCTACTCTCAAAAACAGTGTATACCCCACAGGATATTTCAGCAACTACAGTGATGCCAAGGCCAGAGGGGTAGCCATACTCTTCGCCGCACACACCCCCTTCACGTACAAAGACCACAAAATTGATGATGGGGGCAGGCTGATCCTGGTAAAAGGCCAGATAGGCCAAACCACGCTTACCTTTGCTAACATATACCTGCCCAATCAACACCAGGGTAAGGCCCTTAAGAAATACCTCCGCATAATTGAATCTTTCATGGAAGGCATGCTAATCTTGGGTGGTGACCTAAATATGTCCATAGACTCTGCCCTCGACATGACCTCCCACTCCACACAATACCAGACCACTGCAAGGAAACAGGTAACACACCTTCTTGACCAGGCTAGGCTACATGATTGTTGGAGAACCATACATCCCCAAGCTAGAGACTACTCCTTCTACTCCACGGCCTCATGCACATACTCTAGGCTAGACATGCTATTCCTTCCCCAGGACCACCTACATCTGGCCATCTCTTGCACCTACGGCCCGATCACCTGGTCGGATCATGCACCCCTGTCTCTTGCCGTATCCCTACACTCTCGCTAGCGTCCTTTCGTTGGAAACTTAACGATTTCCTCCTTAATGATTCCACCATTACATCGCGAGTGGAAACCGCACTCACCAATTACTTTCAGGAAAACACGCTACCAACCATCTCCCCCTCCACAACCTGGGAGGCACACAAATGTGTCATAAGTGGAGAATTTCTAGCAATTGCGGCCACCCTCAAAAAATGAAGAACTCAGAGAATAGATGCACTCACACAGGAAATTAGGGCCCTGGAACATACCCACACCAGGGACAGCTCCCTGCCAACCTATAACACTCTCATAACTAAACGTGCAGAATTGACACAATTACTGCAACACCAGGCCAAGAAAAAGCTATTAAATACTAAGCATTCCTACTACGCAAAGGGAGGCAAATGCGTCAAACTGCTTGCCAATGCCCTACAGCAGTCCAGACAAAACACGTACATTTCCAAAATCAAGACACAGACTGGCACATTATCCCACACCCTTCCCGATATCATGGAAGCCTTTCAACAATTCTATACCAAACTCTATAATCTCAGAGACTCACCCCCCACTAGAGCCGACATAGACAAGTTTCTTTCCACTAGGCTCAAAAACACAATCCCTGAAGCTGTCGCCCGCTCCATAGACATGCCTATCACCCTTGACGAATTAAACAGTGCGATCAAATCAACACCGCTGGGCAAGAACCCAGGACCTGATGGCCTAACGGCCAAATACTACAAACAATTCGCCACGCTTTATGTGGAACCATATATGAGGGCATTTAATGCTCTTACTAATTCGGCCCCACTCCCGGCATCGGCACTAGAAGCACATATCACACTATTGCCAAAACCAGGTAAAGACCCAACCGAATTCGGCAGCTATTGCCCAATATCGCTCATTAAAGGACCACTATACTGCCAGGAAAACATACTCGTTTTCCTGGCACTATAGTGCCCTGAGGGTGCCCCCACCCTCAGGGACCCCCTCCCGCCCGGCTCTGGAAAGGGGAAAGGGGTTTAAACTTACCTTTTTCCAGCGCCATGAGAGCTCTCCTCCTCCCTCCTCCACCAAGCTTTCTCGGCCAAGTTGAACGCGCACGCGCTGCAAGAGCTGCGCAAGATTCAGTGTCTCATAGGAAAGCATTTACAATGCTTTCCTATGGACGCTATGCGTTCTCACTGTGATTTTCACAGTGAGAAGCACGCAAGCGCCTCTAGTGGCTGTCAATGAGACAGCCACTAGAGGATTAGGGGGAAGGCTTAACCCATTCATAATTATAGCAGTTTCTCTGAAACTGCTATAATTATGAAAAAATGGGTTAACCCTAGAAGGACCTGGCACCCAGACAACTTCATTAAGCTGAAGTGGTCTGGGTGCCTAGAGTGGTCCTTTAATGTAGATCTAAAGATATGCACAAAAATCCTAGCCATGCGGTTACAACCGATACTACACACCTTAGTACACCCAGATCAATCTGGTTTTGTCCCTAAACGTGAAGCCAAACATAACACAATAAAAATATTAAATCTCATTCACCTCTCCCACACCACTCAAGGACAGAGCCTACTTCTATCCATAAACGCAGAAAAAGCGTTTGATAGAGTAGACTGGACAATGCTGACCGCCACACTTCAAGCCATGGGTTGTGGCCCAAATTGGATGAAATGGATGGGAGCTATATACTCCACTCCAACGGCGAAATTTAGAATAAATGGCCAACTATCAAGCCCAGTACACATTAGAAACGGAACGAGACAGGGGTTCCCTCTCTCCCCCTTACTCTTTATCCTCTCTCTGGAACCCCTTCTGCAGGGAATACGAGACCACAATTCCATTCACAGATTCACCGTCCACCTACTGGAGTTTAAGGTCTCTGCATTTGCAGATGATCTATTATTCTCCATCACTAACCCACTCACCTCCCTGCCACCTCTAATTGCCGAATTGAGGGCGTATGCCGAACTATCCAACTTTAAGGTCAACTACACAAAGAGAGAAATCTGACCCCTCCGACTGGACAGACGCGCACAAACTGAGCTTAAAGCCACATATTCCTTCATGTGGGCTAAGAAGTCCATTACCTATTTGGGGGTCCACTTACCTAGACACTTAAAGCAAACATATGACCTGAATTTTCTACCATTACTCACAGCGATATCGAAAGATCTAGGGGACTGGCAGAGGCCTGTCTTCAGCTGGCTATGTAGGATCAACATATTGAAGATGAATACATTACCGAAAGTGTTATACCTTCTACAAACACTCCCCATTACAATCCCCCCTTCCTTCTTTGCCAAACTCAAACAAATTTTCACGACTTTCATCTAGGCAAATAAGCGCCCGAGAATAGCCTACTCAGTTCTGACCAGACATAGAGGACAGGGAGGGCTGGGACTACCTCACATGGAACGTTACTACCACATGGTCATACTGACTAGAATATACGAGTGGACCGCAGTACACCCACTCAAACAATGGGTGCACATAGAAGACTCAATGTTCCAATCTCCATTATACACAGTCCCATGGCATGACGAGGGACATACACTCCTCCTGCCTCAACACTCACATCACCCAACGATTATACCCACACTACGTCAGTGGTCACGCATTAGATCCCAGAAAGACGTCTCACCGCACCCTTCACCCTTCTACCCTCTGGCACACAACCCAAAATCTTTACCAGGCATACGCCCCCAGTTCTTTCATCAATTCCCACCAACTCAAACGACAAGATATCCGATGATTAGCACGGCTCTAACACCAACAGGAGTAGCTCCACTGTCTATCTTAGCCTCCACAGATCACCCCACTACCAAACAATATTTCCAAAATACTCAGCTGGCCCACTTCCTGAAGGGGGACCTACATCTTCTCCGGAGAACAAGAGCACACACCAAATATGAAACCTACTGCACCACCCACAGCCTACAGACCAAGCACCTATCTATATTTTACAAACTTCTTGGCACCACAAGTCACACTCTTCCACCCACATTCACAGCGGCATGGGAAGCTGAGCTGGGTATCACCATTCCCGAGGGAACATGGCATAAAATATTCACATCCGCCCATGTCACGTCTATCAGCTCAGCAGTACGGGAAAGTACATACAAAAGAATCTCCAGATGGCACTACTCACCCGCTAAGATTCGTGCTATCTTCCCAACAGTGCCGGATATATGTTGGAGGTGCGGGCAACCCAAAGGAACCACAGCTCACATTTGGTGGCTTTGCCCAACCATCCAAACATATTGGCAGAGACTGGGAGGGTTAATAAAAGCTATCACAGGCCAACAGCTATCACAATCCCCTGAAACTTTCCTCTTCCTCATACACACAACCCACATGCCAAGTCACCAGCACAAACTCGTCAACCATATGCTGACAGCAGCAAACATGTTGATACCACAAAAATGGAAAAGCACTAATGCCCCATCAGTATGGGAGTGGATACAGAAGGTAGAATTCATAAGGACCATGGAAGAACTAGACGAATCATATTCAAATAAATACACCATCTACACCCTAACATGGCAGCCATGGGTGACCTATCTGGGTCGTAGAGCCATCTAAATACTATTCATGCATGACCATCTCACTACCTACACCATCATTACCTCTCCCATTCATTCCTATTCTACATTACCAACTATATTATGCTAAAAGTTGAATCGATGCCATCGTACCAAACTGCTGTTATGTTCAATGACTAGATTCTCTCGAACTAAATATTGTTATCTTACTTTATTTTACAACTATGAAAAAAGTAAAAATGCACAGACTCTGATGCCTACATATCTTGAATTGTTAAATGTTATACCTGGGTGGCATATATCACCTATGTCATGTAATACTTTATGCGCAATAAAATAAAGATTTAAAAAAAAAACAAAAAAGAAAATATATATTTGTAAAAAGAATTATAAAATAAATAAATCAATAAAAGTACTTTACTAAAGGACCACTTTGGGAACCATAACAACCTCATTGAAATGATGCTATGGTGCCCAGAGTGTACATTTAAAGGAACACTCCAAACACCAAAACCACTGCAGCCCTGTAATGCAGTGCTTCGCTCATTGGCTGAGAGTTATCAGTCAATGTGCTAATGAGCTCAGCCCTGCAATGAGCTAAACCCTGTGTTGGTAGTGGAGGCGACAAGCGGTGATTGGTAGGCTGTAGTACTTATAGTGCACTTTAGTGGTTATTGTGCTTGGAGTATTAGTTTAAATAATTAAATATTAGATCTTTAAAAAAACGATTAGACTTATCTGTGCATTTCTATGGTCGAACGAAAACTGCCTGATTTAATAGTTTCGTCTCTAATAATTAACAACTGAATTGCCAAATGACTGAATCAAACAAGTCCCAAATCACATAACTTAAACAACTAAAAGATCAAACTTGAAAAAAAGCCCTGTTCATAATGTTGATCTTCCAGCTGTTTAGTAGATAGCTCCCTAATTTGGTATCTTCATGTGGTATTGCCATATCTGAAGATATCAAATAAGGGAGCTATGTACTGAAATGCTCACTGATTTGATATCCTTAAATATAGTAATCCCACATAAGAGTATCCATTTAGGTAAGTAAGGTAAGTAAAGATTGAAAATGCATTATCTGATTGGTCCAAATAAAGATTAATAATAATAACAACATTGGAAAAGAACAGCTCAATGAACAAAATTCAGTTTGGCTGAATATTTTTATTTAAATTTGTATAATTGAGGCAAAAATACTTTTTTTGCTGTGCTTAAGTCTAAAAATTATAAAAATAAAGTAAAATACTAAAACTGTGCTGTAACAGGTCCCAAAATGTGATTATTTACCCCTGGACCATGCAACCGTCCCCCCTTCCTCCCCCACCCCACAGCTCAGTGGCAATGCATCTGTAGGCTGACTGTGGTAATCTGGATTCTCCTATATTACTGCTATATATTTATTATGTTTTCTGTCATGTTCTATATGGATGACTAGAGAATATCATGGAAGAAATATAAGCGTTCCATACAGCATGAAGGAATGTTAATGCTTATAACCTGTCTTGCTATTGTCTAGACGCAACATAACAATACATCACCTGCTTCCTGTTAGTGAATCGTATGAGCCTCATAAAGGCATTTCATGTTTTGACTCTCATCTGCAAATATTTAAAGCAAAGAAAGGGTTAACATTCCGTGTTGCAGATTATCTACAAGCAAAAGCACAATGTGCACCACGTGTACTTTTGGAAGTTGTTAAAAGAGGAATGCACATACGTAGTACACAAAAACATGCGTCCGTTTCTGTAATACCTACATTTTTAAAAGTATTTTCTGTAAACAGTGAGAGAGAAAATGAAAAAAGAATTGCTGCAATTAGAACATATTGTCCTACAGATAATGTCCAATGGCATGTGAGAGTAGACTCGTCTAATTTAGTGTTTCTACACACGTAGGGTTACATGCTATGCAAGATATGTAGCTGTAATAAAACAAAAATATGTTGTTGTTTTTCCCTTGAAATGCTTGACATCGTATCTTTTACAAGAATGAATCCTTCTGATATATTAGTGGTTTCCAAACCAATCCTCATGGCCCACCAATAATCCAGAATTTAAGTATTTCCTTTTTTTATTCCGATTTAGATACTGACAAAACCTGGGCTGTTGCTGGGTCGTGAGGACTGATTTGGGAACCACTACATTAAAAAGATTTTTTTTCACATTTCAGCTTTTATTAATTTTCCACATTGACAGGTGTCATTGTAACGATATCATCAATTTTATTAACTTCACCTGTCAGTGGTTTTAAGTTGTGGCTGATCAGTGTATATTACATAAAGGTAGGGAAATAGGGAGAGATAGTTAGATATTTAGAGGTATATAAAAGTGTTTTCAAATAACAATTAGGCATCAAAGTGTATAGGTTAACTGCAATATGGTTTACGCTGGATACCCTTAATCATTCTCAATGAGGATGTTTTCCAAGGAAACCATAGAGTAAATTTGATAATCTAAGTATGGGTTTCAGCAGGCCATATGTGAATGCAATTATACTTTTAGGTCCTACACGCAATATGTGTAGGTGTGTTTTATTAAGACATGAAATGTAGGCTATTCACCAAGTTAGGAATTGCCATGGATGGACTGTAGTCACCTCTTCGACCCAGATAATATAAAACCTCCATAGGGGACAAGCAATTAGTTTTCAATCCTGGAACCAACTCATCAAACCCAGATACATTGCATGGTTATCTGCTTACAGATAGTGATGTCGCGAACCGTTCGTGGCGAACCGTGGCGAGCCGTTCGCGGCAAGTTCGCGAACCGTTCGCGACATCACTACTTACAGACTGGTGTGTGTAAATATGCACATTTGTGGAAAGCAAAACCTTTCTAAAAGCAGTTATATAACCAAATAACACAACAAATTTTACACAGAATCCTTGCAATAGTTGTAACATCCCATAGTGAAAATACCAATAAGCAGGAATTCCGGTCAGAAGGTTTTCATAATCTTATTTCCACAAATTATTCTATAAAGCCCCAAATTATAGCTGTATATAACCTAATCATTTACTTGGAGTATAAAAATATGAAATGATTTCTGTATGTGAAATAGTACAATTTAATTCACCAATTAAATTACGGCCTGAAAATCACCTCCATGTTATATAATAATATTACTATATATGAGATAGATGGTCAGACAGACAGACAGACAATTCATTAGACTTGAATGAACCTTGAAAGAAGTTCATATGTACATGTTAACACGTGTAACAGCTGTTCAGAGGGTATATTTGTACTTCCTATGGACCATTTTATTACAATTTTATAACTTACACTGGTTCAGTGTAGGATATTTTAACTACACTTTAGTGCCTAAGTATTATGGTAGTTTTAGAGCAAAGACTTGTTTAATGTTGTGTTTATATATTTTTTAAACCACATCACTATGTGAATGGTGTATATACAATTTTCCAGTTGTGTTCCCATATCCAGAATTGTGAATACATGTTTTTTTAGCAATTGCAAATGAAATCACTTATTGCAAACTGTTTTAATTTGCAATTGCTGTGCTGACAGCAGAGCTGGTGCTTTCATTATAGTGCTGGCTCTCCTGTGACCCCAAGCCACTTCACATTCCAGTGGGGAGATCTATATGGAATTGGTCCCTGGTGTCAGGACTAAATCTTTTGGATGACTTATTGTTACTGGTGACATTTGACTGTCTGTTCTAGTCTATGTTGTGCTCCAGAGGAGTATTTCTTGTCTTGCCTCACTTCCTCTAGGCTGCTGACCACATGCCCCCAACTATATATGCACCAACCACCTGCTTCCCACAAACGACACAGACATTTTCCATTGTGGATAGGGAAGCCTTTCAGCAGTTTGGGTGAATTCCCACAATACTTTGAATGTACTCATGCAAAGCGTGAGGACACCCAGCATAGTTTCAAGGAGTTAAACTACAGTGTCCCGTTAAGTCTGCCCATGTGCAAAGCGGTGCTGAAGTTCTCTGCTAAATGTTATGGAATAGTCTTGTGCACCCACAAATGCCTGTAATGATCCAGGACAGTTGAGAAATATTGGAAAGAGTAACGAAATAGAGATGAAAGAAAAGTATCTTTTCACTTGAAAGAGAAACATAGGACAAAGAATATTACAATAAACAGCATCCTGTTGGGACTAGAATTGCAATATTACTGATAACTTAATGACTCACTGTTGTACATGTTACTTAAGAGTGTATTTGCTAAATAAGGAGGTTTCTACTTACGAGAAGCCAAACGATGACCATGATGCCATGCTCCCCAGCTGGCCCCTGATATTGATAGGGAGAACATGGTTTGTACTTCTAGGTCAGTTCTCCACTCCTTCTAAAGCATTAGACTGTGGCAATGCCCTGATATATTTCCTGGTGCCGGATGGAAGTAGATGTCTGCATCCACAGGGGGTTTAGACAAGCTGCGTTTCCCACCGGACCACCAGGGATCAGAATTCCCCCTTCCATGTCCTAAGGTAAGATACAGGTAGGGGGAAGAAACTTTATTTTGTTTTTTAATTAAAATATTTTGTTTTGTTTTTTACTTTTCCTTCAGCCTCTTATCTACCCCACTACATCCCCTAACCCCCAGTACAGCTCCTAAAACCCCCACTACAACTCAAAACAGCCCCATTACAGCTCCTAACCCCCACAACAGC